GAAACGCTGCAGGGTGTATGGAGCGAGTGGGGGACTCAAGCAATCCCCTGCTCCTCCATGTTCCCACTGCAGCCGCTTCAGCCTTTGAAATGTACAAGAGCCCCACAAAGCTTGTGTATATTTCAAAGGCTGAAGCGGCCACAGGGAGCACTGGGCCAGAGGGGGACTTCTTGAGCCTCCTGCTCGCCAATGCTCCCTGTGACACTTCTACTTTTGAAATGTACAAGAGCCCCATAGGACTCTTGTACATTTCAAAAGCAGAAGAGCAGCAGTTTGAACCAGTGCTAGCAGGGACTGCTTCAGTCCTGCTCACGCCATTTCCCCACGGTGCCTCTGCTTCCCCTGCACGGATGGTGCTGGGGGAAACCGGCTTAAGCTGGCTCTCCACAGCACCGGCTCCTGCTCCCCACCCTTGCTGCCTCTCTCTGATAGAGGCAACGGGAGAGAGGGAGCAGTGACTAGTCGAGTCACTACTCCACTATCCAATAAGCTTATGCTTCTCAGATAGTCAACTTATCACTTACATCCCTAATATGATCATGTAATTAAATACTGTATCATCATGCATATGCACAAGGGAGCTGAATTAAGGTTGCATGGCCATCCTTAAATCTGGCATTTCCCAACTTCTGAGTGCTGAACTTTGCAATAATGTTTAGCTTTTTTAAATTAAGTACTTATAACAGAGAGAGAATAGCAGGTGTACAATAGCAGATGAAGGATCTTAGCACACCACAATACCTAGGCCCTGTCTACCAGCAGCTTAGCACTCCAGCAGCAGCACTGTTGTTAGCAGCTGCTAAAATACTGGTCCCTCTTAGCTAATACTGAAATATGTCATGAGAAGAAGAGCAAGGAGTCCTGGATTCTATTTCAAGCTAAACTATCAATTTATGTGACTTTGGATAAGCCACTTACTGTCTCTGGGTCACATTCTGCTCTCCATTAGGAAGGTAAGCAACTAGTTGACAATCTGATAAGCTTATGCTTCTCTGATAGTTGAGTAGTGACACGACTAGTCACCCCTCCCCCCATTTGCTGCCTCTATCAGAGAGGTGCAGCAAGGGGGGGAGCCAGCTTAAAACCTGGTTCCCCCCAGCACCGTCTCTGTGGGGGGCAGAGAAGGCAGAGGCATTGCGGGGAACTAGATGTGAGCTGGGAATCGGCTGATTCCCGGCTCGTACCCAGTCCCAGATGCCACACCTTTGGTTTTTAAACGTATTAAGAGCCTGGTGGGAATCAGCTGTCTCGGCTCATGCGTGGTCCCCCCACTGTGCTTCAGTCTTTTAAATGTATTAAAAGCCTGGTGGCTCTTAATACATTTAAAAGGCAGAGCTACAGTGGGATTAGCTCCTGGGCCCAGGAGCTAACCCTGCTGTAGCTCTGCAGTTTCCCCCCTTATCGACTAGTTGATGGAAAATCCATCAACTAGTCGATTAAATGCAATTTAACATCTCTATTCTCCATTACATCAGTCTAAAGCAAGGGGAATTCTATTTGTTTGATAAGACTTCTTCTGGATTTAAACGGATACACAGCAATATCTGATCCTTTGTGCTTCTATTTCCACATATGTAAAACGAAGATAATGTACTGATGTCAAAAAGGTATTGAAATGCTTCATGCATTAATGTTTGACAAGTGCTTTTACATCCACAGCAGGAAAGTGCTAATTTAAGTATAAAATATTATTTTATTAAAAAAGGATACCCTACTCAACAAAGGCCACTTGTGAGGCTGAGTGTTACTGTTCACACTTTTTTTATTCATAATATTTTTTTTTAAATGACAGAAAATCTGATCAGCTCACTTTAAAAAAAAGTAAGAATGCTATAATAAGAAATTATGTTACTTCGGAAGTCAAGAAGAGTTTTGCCAGTGACATTACAAAATGAATGGTATGGGACAAAATTTTACTGACATAGTTAATAATGCATTCATCCCAGTTAGTGTTAGTTCACTGATGGAGCATTTCTATCCTATGCTTTACTTCATTATTTGTTATTGAGTATAACATGGAGAACAAATTTAACAAAATATCCATGCTGTGTCATGCATCTTGCCAGAAGAACTCATACAAAGAAAGCATGACAAGCTAGTCATTATACTGACAATTCAGTTATGCTTAATAGGATAGATTCACCACTAGTGCAGCAACTGAGCCTCCCAAACACATCCCTAGGCAGAAAATTACTGACAATGTAACTAGAGTTGATGGGAATTTTTCAACTAAAATGTTTTTATTGGAAAATGCTTATTAGTCATAACTGAGACTATCTATGGGGGGAAATGATGGTTTTGATTAATATACAGGCAGTCCCCGGGTTACATGGATCCGACTTACATCGGATCCCTACTTACAAACGGGGTGAGGCAACCCCGCACTAGCTGCTTCCCCTCAGCAGACCAGGGAGACGCGAAGCTAGCGCCCCCCTCCAACAGACCAGGAAGACAGGGAGCGGCTTTTCTCAGAAGACACCTCAGCTTGAGAATAAAGGACTGAGGGAAGTGAGGTGTGGGAGAATAAAACTGAGCTCTGGAGAAATGTTTGGCTAGAGTTTCCCCTACAATATGTACCAGTTCCGACTTACATACAAATTCAACTTAAGAACAAACCTACAGTCCCTATCTTGTACGTAACCCGGGGACTGCCTGTATTTACTCCAAAAAGGTGGGGGGAAATCCAAATTGCCTAAATAAATACTTTAAAATAAAAAGACTCCAGTTTCTCTGGCTCAAGTGACTTTTTGGTTAGGAAAAAAAGTCAAAATGGTCAAAATGTTGTGAGCGACCCAAATGTTTGAGGCTGCAAACAGCTAAAGGACAGATGTTGCAGGTGCTTGTGTCCTGCAGTTGCACTGCACATACAGCTCTAGGCAGCAGCAGGGGAGGAAAAGACAACCTGTTCCCTTTCGGAGAGCACTGGAGTGCAGCAGTGCAGTGCATGCTCTTGCTCCAAGTAGTCTAGCTGAGTTCAGCAAGTGAAAAACAGGAATTATGCAGGCACGGGGCACAACAACAATATTTTTATTGGTGTAGATCTCCCTCGATGGGGGAAGAGATTCCCGCCACTCCAGGTTTCTCAAGGCTGGGGAGGGGAAAGAGGTCAGGGCAATAAGGAGAAGAGGACTCCTTACACACAGGAGCCCCTCCTGGGCCCTCTCAAGAAAATTCTGCTCGTGCCCTTGCAGCCAGCTGTTGCCTGGTGTGTACTGGGGAAAGGGGAAGAGCTGCACCCTGCCCTGTCGCTCCGTCTCTTCCGTCCCCCCACCAGTTAGTCCCCCGCCTCTTCCAGCTCCCACCCGCCTTCACCCAT